AAACCTTTTTGTTCTTTATTGATCATCTAGCTTTCTTTGATATTAAAAAAATGGATGTTTCTAAATTAAAATATTGAATTATTATATACACATTCTCACAAACTGGAATACTTCAGTTAAATCCCTTCACCTGTTTCAGTTAAAATTAAATATTTGTTTACTAGGCTAACTGCTACCATGGAGGTGTTTGATGGATCCTCCTGGAAGCTTCAAAACTATGAATTAACATCTGCAAGATCTGCTCACTGCGCTGTTCCTATCAGGTATACACTTTATTTATATATATTAATCATGACAAGTGCACACATATAATTAATCAATAAAGATGAAATAAGATGAATTCTTATACAGAATATATGCTGTTGTCAAATATTTTCCACCATGTTTTCAAAAATAAATCTAGTAAGATGTATCTACTTACATCTTTATTACAAACATTGTTTAACTTTCCTAAATTCCCCTTTTTGAAAGGACAAACTGTAAATATTTAAAACAAACTGTATATCAAAAGTTGGCACAAATGAACAGAATCATAGATAATATCATCAAAAATAAAACTGTCAGCATTTTTAATTTATTTTTACATTTCTTAACATTTTATATTCTAGTGATAGTCAAGTTCTGCTGCTTGGAGGATATAGTAAATCTAACAGCTACTTTTCTCTTGGAGGATGGTCTAACAGCGACTTATCTCTTGTAGAAGTCTACAGTATTGAAGAGGGATTCATTGCAGAGCTTCCATCAATGCCAACTGCAAGGTAATCTTTCTAAAATATATCTGAAGACTGAAACATTTGAATATGTTCTATTTTACATTTTTCATGATTTTTTCTAATATTAATAGTGTCATTCTTTAATTGATAAATAAGTTTGAAAATACTTCTCACAAATACATACAATAATATACAATGAATTTAAAAATTCAAATCTAATATTATTAAATATTCATAATCTTAATAATAATGATAAATTAATCATTGAACATTTTTTTATTTCATACTCACACTCTTTGTCTGGTGCTTTATAAATAAAATTGCTATTAAAGGAATTGATTTCTTGTCACAAACTCTCAATGCCCTTAGATCCACA